ATATATATATATATATATATATATATATATATATATATATATATATAGTGTCCAAATAACCACGATCACCAAGAGAAGATAAAATGTTTATAAACAATTAAAAAGTTAAAAACAATTTAAAAGCAATAAAACATTTAAAATTATCGGCAACCGAGCTTTCGTCGGACTCTCCCGACATCATCAGGGTTGCTGAGGCGGTTTTAATTGTTTATAAACATTTTATCTTCTCTTGGTGATCGTGGTTATTTGGACACTATATGGAAGTACCCAAGAGTCGTATTTTTAATTCTATCTCTAGCCATATATATATATATATAGGGAAATGCTTGCATGTCTGTGTATATATCTTTTCTTCAGATTGTTTATTTAACTCATTGGCTAAGCCAATTTTTTTTCAACTTTGGCACCTTTAAGATGACTAAGCAGTTCATTTGAGTCCTCTGTCTACTTCAGCATATTATTTCAGCATGCATTTGACTTTATACCTGGTACACTGTCCCAAATGATTCTCTGCCTTTGCTGATTTAAAGGGTTAATATTCTGTTTTTCTGCTTTCTGTCAGCCCAGAAGCCCCCGAGCTTCACCTATGGCAGGAAATAAATGGTATTTGTGCTTTTAAGATGACGGGAGAGGAAAAATAATCATTAGAAGTAATCTAATACAGATTATACTTATTGATAAATAATGAATTCAGTTTAATTTCAGTTTCCTTTGAGTTTGATTTTTAACAAGAGTCATGGCTGAAATACCTGATCTAGTCCCAAAAGACATTCCTTGCTTTTTTCCCCATAATTTGGGTATTCCAGATTTTTTTTCTGATAAAAATTTCTGAAGAATTCAAATCTGGCACATACTTTTTACTACTTTTTGGGATCCTAATAAATTTGTTACTAAACTATAGACTTTTTAAATGAATCAGATTGACCGTAATTAAGATTTAGCAGAATCTAGTTTAATTGTATCTAGTTCAGATAATAGGTATGTAGTAGATGGGATGATTAATCAAAATACACTTTGTACAAGTGAACATCTAAAAACTGAAGTATTTTATTAATAAATATTAGCTACCTGAATATTTGTATTTTTTTGCTGAATAAGTATTACATAGTCCCTGTAGTTTTCACTGAAAATATATATTCACTTTTTATGCAGGAGTCTGTGTAGTGTGTGGGGGTTTTTTTTGAGATTACTTTTCCTCATCTACACAAAAGTGATTGTATTTTAAAAGTATGTTAATTATGTACATTACAAATATATTTCCAATGTATGTAGCCTTTTACACACCTTACTAAACATGCAGCCTTTTGAGCTTGGTTGTTAAAGTTTCTAAAGGCCCTTTAAGATTTCTTAACCCAGTTTCTCCTAACCTAAAGATTTAGATGATCCCTTCTTGCATCATATCCTTGGACATTAATACTATAGGACATTAAACAATTGAAACAGAAGATGGTACTCTTTTTGACTTTGAAATTTCTCCAATTTTTCAAACTATAATTGCCAAGTCTTAGTACTATTTAAACAAAGCTCTTGTTATATTTTTTTTTTCAAGTTAAGTGGTGGGTGGTTTTCACCCTTGCAGAGGTCCAGTATCTTTTTATGGCTTTATCTTTTTCTTGGCTAGGTTTCTGAAATGCTGCCAGATTTTTTAAAGTGAAGTATAAATCAAGTTAGTTGTTTATGTTCTTTATAATCTTTTAATGATATGGTTTTTGAGAAAGGTGATTTGTTTAGTGTATTACAGTATTTTTCTTCTTCCTGCTTTATCATGAAGAATTACACATTTATCGCACATAATTTTTCCCTTTCCAAAATATTTCACATAAGCAAGTGGGTTTTAACTGCTCTTGTTTTCTTGATAAGTTTTGTACATAATAAATGTGGGCATACTTTTGCCATCATTTTTCGTCCACTTTAACCTAAAGACCAGGACTGTCATGAATAGGATTGGAATAACTCATTAAAGCAGAGACTCTAAAAATGGGAAGTGTGATATATATTCTCCGATTATTGCCTTACTGGAAGATTCTCTTTTCCTTCCCTATCTTCTGTGACTGGCAGAAAATCTTCCTAGTCAGACAGAGGCTTTTACTATCCTGGGATTAAATTTCTGTTAAAAGTTATCCTTGTGGCAAAGGAACAGTTGAAAATGTTTTGCTGCATTGTCCATTTTATAAAGATTCACAGTATGTTTTACAATTTAAGTAAATTGCAAGGGCATTCAAATCCATTCTAAATGCAGCTATATAAGTTGACTAATATGAGTCAGTTTCATTGAATATGGGCAAATTCCATTTTACGGTTTGTAAAATTTGCTGTAATTATGTTTTTTTAAAATTCATTTTATTTTGTATATTTTAAACTTTAGCTTTTAATGGAACTCTGGTCAGTGAGCACAAAGTTTGTAGTGTACTTGTTGCTGTAAAATTAAATATCTATTACATTCCACCTAAACTCAACCTTTGTGAAATGCATTTAACGAATACTAGTTGCAACAATTTGACTATGTTAGTCAAAGACCAAACCTCCTAAATAAGCTAATTAATAAAATAATTGATTATAAACCATGTTCTAATTATGAATGAAAAAACATAGTACATACTGTTATCTTTTTAAAGCAAAGATGCCTACTGAGCCCAGCTTTGCTTTTGCTTTTAGTATAATTATAGGCATTAGGTTATTTTATGCTCAAGATAATGATATATTCTGAGCTCGTGTGTCAAGAGTTATTTACAATTATATTAAGCAGCTAGTTTAAAATGTGGATGGAGCTTAAAAGGAATGTGTCCCACTAGCTCATGAAAAGGAGATGGGGATGTAATAACTGTTATCAAGAGGACAGATATATTGTCTGGCCAAAAAGGGGAAAAATCAATCTGATATTAAAAATATTAGCAGTCAGCTCTTCAGTGCAGAATCCCTAATAGACCTTGATCAAAACTATACTTTGAGAGTATGTTGGAAATTTTGGTGTTCTGAAGAACCATGAAGATCTGTTTTCCCAGGCCTTGGCTAAGATAGTTGGAGCCCCCTCCATTGGATGTTTTGGGGTATCTTCTTGGCTTAAGATAGAAGACAAATTGCTGTCTAACAGTACTGGGGATAAAATAAACTGTGCCTTCAAGAGCTCTGCAACTTCCCTTGCTCAAGTAATTTCAAATGACTTTTAGTTCTATATTTGTGACCTTAGACATGTTAGAGGAAAAGGAAAGAACTCTTTGAAAAGGGAAACTTTAAATCTTTGATGTGATTACATTGAAAAGTAATCGAGTGGTGATTTCCTTTTGGTCATTTTTCTAAAAAAGATTATTAATTTTATAGGAGATGATCATGATATGTGTCAGAAACACCAGCAAGTGTACACCAAAGGAGATGAATCCCCTAATCTACTTCTAAGTGTAGAATATAGCAATATCCCAAGATGATATAACAGTTTCAAGGCCAATACAATTTTGCTGGTTCATATATTCCAAAAAATCTGAGTGTTAAGATGCAAGGGATGAGTTGTGATCCATAGAATTCCTATCCCTGGCAATGTAAGATATTCAGTAGTTCAATTGTTTTCCCTTTCTCTTGTGTTTCTGATCTCAAAAGCTGCATATCAAATCAAAATGATTTGTTGTTATCAGTAATCCAAATAGACCATAAAAGGTCAACTTGATTATGAAATCCTAATCAGATTTCTGATCCTTAGGCAAGTCTTGTACAGACACTCCTGGAATAATCCTCTTTTAGGTATTTGAAATTTTAGCACTAGGATCAAGAATTAAGAAAATACACATCGGAGTAGGAAGGACACAGTGTGGAAGACCCTTACAGTAGCATTTCTTCTTTTTCATAAAAATATAGACTAAAAATCAATCTATGTAACAAGTCCAATGTGTTTGGGAAAAGTGCACTGAGAAATTATTTGGTGGTTACAGTTTGACAAATTGCCATTATGTTAGTAGTATGTAAATGTTTTTCATACATAATCTTGGCTTCTTTCTTGGAGATGTCTATGGGGACACAAGAAAAGAGACATATGTCCTTTAAACATAGGATTTTATGAAAGTGCCTAACATGAAACATCTTTGAATTACTTTTAAATGTTTAAGTTACAGCTAGTTTTAATCTCTTCCTCTCAAACAGATCTCCACATAGAGTCAGTGAATTACTTGAGTTTCTGGGAAATTGAAGTAATATAGTTCCCAACAACGGAAGGTTAAGGGGATTTAGAGGAGGTAGTAGGTATGCAGTAGTAACTAACCTGTTTCAAAGTAATTCAAAGAAGCTTCTGTTAAAATAGCCTTTTTCATTTCTTAAAATTATTCATGTTGTCTCTTAATTTCCCCTCCAATCCACTAGAGCAGTGGTGGCGCACCGTTGCCCCAGTCCTAGGCCTTCAGCTGGGTTTTATAAAACCTTTTCACTTTAGGCCTCCGCTGCCGTGTGCAAAAAAAAAAAAAAAGGTTCAATCAATCAGTCAATTTCAACTTCTCAGGGGAAAAAAAAAGATCTCTCAAATTTGGAATTGATTGATTGAACTTTTTAGTCCCACCCAATCTGCCGTTACTACCACAGCCACGCCCACCCAATTGGCCACACCCACTCGGCACCCAATGATACATAAGTGGGTTTTGGGTTGCAGTTTGGGCACTCGGTCTCTAAAAGGTTCGCCATCACTGCACTACAGCCTGAGGTAGTTCTTACTCCATTTTTGAAGTTTCAGGGTTTGTATAAACATTATAGGTATAAAATACTCCTGTCTTTCATTTCAGTTTCAGAAAGTTCCATTCAATTCTTTTCATAAAGAATTCCAGCAAATCATTTGTATTCTAGCAATATACATCAGTTATTAACGGTCCATAATTAACACAGATTTATTGCAGAAGGTGATGATACATAAGACCCTAAAGTATTCTGAATTACCCTTCTTGACATTTAATAGTTGGGAATGAGAGAATATTATTTTTAATACCTAAGCACAAATAGGAAGACCCAGCTTTTAATTCTAAGAGAAGTGTCAGTGCAAATTTTCTCATGCTAGTCTTATTGAAACTGAATCCAGGATTGTTATAAACTTGTTTCAAGTTGACTAGTGCAAGAGTATTCTGATTGTTTTTATTCAATTTATTATAAGAGTGGCAGTAATTTAAAATGGGGGGGGGTTTAAATATATAATTTTATATTTGTGGTGTCAGAAAATCATTCTGAACAACCCTCTTAAGTTTTGTTTCTATTCTTATTGCGGTATGGCTTCTTTCTGGCAAATTTAAATACTTTTAACTCATGAATGATACAAAGTTTTGTTTAACTTTATGACTTAAAAATAAATAAACCATAACTGGATTCTTTTGAAAGTATTTACTATAGTACTATTTATATAAAATATTTGGGGAATATTCAGCATTCCTGAATAATCAGATTAGCTAAATGTGAATGCATCCAGCAGAGAATTAAACAGACATGAGGATTTTATGGAAAATCCATAGCTAATTTGCATAATCAAAGGATGTGAATAATCCATTCTGGATTATTGGGCACACTATATTTTACTACACAATCACAAGAAAAAAAAGGCTTAGTAGAGACCCAGTAGGTCAGATAGGGCAATTCTTGTGGCTGTGAAAATGTGCTTTTTATTTTATTTTAGTTTAGTTTTTCCATATTTCTGATATATTCCCCAAATCATAACAAGATACTTCACTTGCAGAAAAGATGAATTTTTAATTAAAGTAACGGATTTTTTTGAATAATTAAAATGGATGCTAATTATTTCTAATCTGTTTTGTGCCCATGATTAGCTATTATTGACTTTGTTTTTATTTTAGGCATGATGGATAATGATTTTAAAAACTTAGGTTTTACAAAATAATTCATTTGGGGCATTTGGTAATATTCTGTCTGTGCATCATAGGAAATCTATTTTTAGTATGAAAAATAAGTTAAATTTACCAGGTTTAACAATTTTGATTGCAAGTACTGCTACATGCAAAATAATTAGTGTACTGTAAAGAAATGTTAAATAAAACTGTTTATAAAAATGCATATTTCTTATTTTTTTTTTCAAATTCAGGGAGAGCCTATCATTTTCTGTGAGGAAAGCTTCATCAAGCATCGTTCCAGTTCTACTAAATATTTTCTGGAAACTGCAGTGAATCTCCAACTTTTTAAACAGGTATTTCTGGGATTTTTGATCTACGGTAATATCATTCTAATGCATGTAGCATATGAATATTCAGGGATAGAAAAATTGATACAACATTATCAATAGCAGTTTCTGAATTTTGATTTGACTAGGGAAGGATTTTTATGATCTGAGGAGAAACCAGAGTATAGCCAAGATAAATTCTTGTACATTTCAATTATAGGTTCTTTCTAGTAACAACTCTTTGAAGTAATAAAAAATAAACCTGCTTCAATTAAAAGGTCTTGGGTTTCTTCCAGCATATTTAATTGTATTTCTATTTGGAATCATCCCTATCCTCCTGTGAACATCCAAAATCTGTCTTGGCAGATTTTCCAATCCTCTAGAAGTGATGTGGCAGGTATATAGGAAAGTATTAATAAATGGTTCGGGTAAAGGTAAAATTCAAGCAATCATAATTTGAAGTCCTTATTCAATGAATAGCTCTTTTTATATAAAATGTTTTGGATACATACATAGATTTAATCCTGTTTATCACTAGTAAAACTGAGCACAAGAAATCCAATTTTCATGTTTGCTAGCCTCCAGATCCTCTCTTAAACTGCTCCCTTCAGGACTAGGAAATTTGCTGTGTAAGTTGGGTATGGTGCAAACATATGTGGAGAACAGAAGTAGGAGTCTTCTCCCAGCCCTTTGATGCTCATACTTGTAGTCATGGATGATATAATTATTTTGGCATTATTTAAGAGGCTTTCCTATGGATGAGCACATTGCTCTCAGAGCAATACAATACAATACAATACAATACAATACAATACAATACAATACAATACAATACAATACAATACAATACAATACAATACAATACAATACAATGCAAATACAAATACAAATACAAATACAATGCAATGCTATGCAATGCAATGCAATGCAATGCAATGCAATGCAATACAATACTTTAACTCATAGAGTTGACTTTGACTTTGTTTAAAAATGGAAATCAGTTTAGTAGGACCATACCATTCAGGCATATTTCCAGTTTTTTTTCCAGATGTTACAGCTAAATTTTAATTTGACATTAATTGCCCAGAGGGTCATGTGTTTGAAATTATGCATGTCTCTTCTTTCCCATTGCATGGAAGGGAAAGTTAGAAGCTTTTTTAGTACTCTGTATCATATTGAGGAGAATTTCTATTTGTTCAGACAATCCAGAATCAGGTCATGTCTTATGATCTTGGGTGATTTTCAAACATTTTTTTTAAAACTAACCTGTCTCTAGTTCAGATGTAATGAGGAACGTCTGTTCTTTAGAAGTGGGTGCTTTCTTATCTCTTCCTTGTAGTTGTAGCAGAGGAGAGGAAAGGGTGAAAGTGCAGTGTTTCAGAACCGTTTTGTCTGATGAATCTCAAAAGCTAGAACTCAAATTGCGTATCTGGAATTGGGAAGAAATTCTTAGTTTTGGACTGTCTTGATATAAACAGGATTTAGAAGGGCTACTTCAATTGTAGGTTTTTGCTGCCGCATGCCACTGATTGATGCCAGAAGATTAGTTTTTCTGCTGGCCTGTTGGAAACCATTGTTGGATGAAGAGAGAACAAAATGATACAAATAGGAACAGTCCTAAAAGCTTATTCTAAGCATTGGATAAACACTGCAGTCCAAATTTCAGCACAAAATAGAAAACATTTCCTCTGATTAAAAAAGCCAGAACCTTAGATGGTGGTGGGGGGGACCATGTTTAACTAATCTTCTGGCTCTCTTTGAAGATATAGTGCAAAACAGATAAGTGAAATTCACAGGATGGTAGGTAACTTTCATTAAAAAAAAGTTTTTGTTCCTGGAATTTAATGGTTTATGTAGAGATTTATGGCAGCAGAAGTGAAAAGTGCAGTTTCTAATTGGAAAGAATAGAAATAGTGTTATTCTGGAATAGGGAAAGAAATAAGTTTTGAAACTATTTTATGCCCCTTTAGTATTTTATATAATTCCTCCTCTTTGTATTGCACATTCAGCTGCCTCCTATCCAAGACCTGTTTGTAATTAGGCACTTTTCAAGGTTACTTGAGTCATAAGAGATTTGAATTTAAAGTGTTGCTTTAGGTTCAGTGGCAAGTACTGTTTTTTAAACAGAAAAGAAATCTTGTGAACAGTTCAAAGAGAGAGACAGATGGATGGATAGTATATGTGAAACAGCAGCAGGGCAGACATTTGCATTATTGTAATTTTAAAACACTGTTGTTTTGGAAAGTGAAATCTTAGTAATCATACAAATGGGAAGCAAAAGCAGTGTGTAAAAAGTACGCACTACATATTATATAATAAATTTCTAACCTTTTTAACATACACACAGCATCATTGATGTCCACTTAGACCTGTTATCATTTAGTTGAATATAAAAGGACTCAAATAGAATTGTGTATGGAGTATTGTATACAAAATACCTATTTCACTAGTTTCAGCCATTTTTGAATGACTTGCCATATATCATTTCTCTAAAGCCCTGAATGTATATACTGATAATAGCTATTTTGGGTAAGTATGGAACTAAGCTGCTCAATCTCCTTCACTTATATTCCATTAATAAGGAATATATAATTTAGAAACCTAAGAAAAATGTTAACCATTTAAACTTTGGGAAATGTGTGTTACTGAAATTGTTGATGGTATAATACTTGTGTGTCTAAGTCTAAGAACAGAATACACTTTTTTTCTTGAAAGAGAAAACTGCTTTATTTGATTTGAAATAGAAAACATGATGTGTATATGAAAAATGGATGAAATCCTTACCCGGTATATACTGTTAAAAGCAGAACATTGACCACATTTTTGCACCTCTATGCAATTTTTATAAGCCCCTGTGCTACTGAAAGGTTCAAGATAAAATCCCCAAAGCAGCTCCAGTCTGGTCAAAATTAAAATATAACCTGATTTGACACATAAATTTATTTTATTATTAATAACTCTTTTATTCTTTAGGAAGTGTTCTGAATTGCTAATAGGACATATTTGTGTTTGGTGTACAACACCCAATAAATAGGCATAATGTTTAAGCAGAGTTGTATAAAGTGAGGAAAATAATAGAGGGATGGGGCAAGATTTTATTGTTCATTTAGTTTGTCATTTTTCTTGGCGAAATCTGACAAATCCACCAAACACAATTAACGATGCAGCTATTAATTTTTTTGTGAACTCACAATTTGTATTAACATTTTGTGAGTGTAAGATTAGACCCAAAACAAATATCTCCGTTCACTTCATGCTTAACACTCTGTTATCTCACGCTCATAAATCATGTGCTTGGTATGAGAGCAAGGAATGATTTCTTAACTCTCCCTGGATAGATAATGCTTTGTGGCTCAAAGAATGTTTTCTGCACAGTGGTTGTTAAAGGTGCTTTATCTCATTCTTGCTGTGAAATAATCCAGTGATCCCTTACTGCGGTCTGACCATGAACCAATCCATTTGGAAAAAGGCCAGGTTAAGGCTGAGGGGTGGGTGAAGGGAGAAGAATGTTAGCTAAGAAGAATAGGAAATAATCAGTGATAGCATGTCCTTCACTGCTACTGCTGAGTCTGCCTTTATCTAGTCCTCTTAAAAATGTATTCATGGAACAGTTTGTTTCATGTCATCAGTCTATCCATTGACAAGCATCAGATTGTCACTGACAGGCCTGTTTGGATAATCTGTGATAGCATATGACAGTCAGCCAAATAATTAATTTTTATTGGCTCCTGTGTACCATTTCAGTTAACAGTGATTTGGTATTCATGTTGGAAAATGCAATCAGTCAAATAATTTCTTTGTTTATCTCATATTTTGGCTACCTAATCTTGGCAAAGAAGTATTAATCCTAAAAATGTCAGTATTTTGGAGGGTTGAAAAAGTTTTTTTTGTTTTTTTTTTAGGTTTATGAAAATTTAATGCAAATTGAGAGTTTTTACAATACATTGTAATTTCATTGAGAATTATACTAAGATTTTGATTGCCAATAATTTAAATCTGGCAGTTTTAACAAGGTTTCATGATTCTTTTCAGATTATATATACCAGGGGTGTCAAACTCAATTTCATTGAGGGCCGCATCAGCATTGCGGTTGCCCTCAGGGGGCCGGGTGGGTGTGGCCAGAGTGGGTGCGGCCTACTGGGTGGGTGTGGATTGAGTGGGTGTGGCCTACTGGGTGGGCGTGGCCAGCTCTACATCATTCACGAGTGGGACAGATCTGAGGGTTTCTTGCAGAAGTAGGCGAGGGCCATTTGCTGGCCACTTCCAGGCGATGATGCATTTCTTCATTCCTCACAAAGGGTGACATCTCCCCAGCATGCTCCAGGGGGTGGGGCCGACACGGCAGGGGCTGGTTCCTCACTGTTTCCAGATGGCCTTGTGGAGCTAGGACTGAATGTGTTTCAACATAGATGGCCACCACAAAATTGTACATTGGCTCCCGGCTGGCCTGGGCCAGGGCCAGGTAGTGGGGGCCATTCCCTCACTGTTTCCAGGATGGCTTCACGGGCTCCATGAAACCACTTCGCGGGCCACATCCGGCCCCCGGGCCTTGTGTTTGACATGTCTGATGTATACGTTCAAAATTCTCTAGAACTCAGAGATGTGAGGGAATGGAGAATTAGAAACTTGCATTTTCTTACATCCATTTATTTCTTTTGACACTACCTTTTTTTTGGGTGAGATTTAAATTGGCAAACTATGATAAATGCTACCTTCTGTTGATTGCAATCATTGTTTAAAATTATTAACCATTGGTTTTAATTTTACAGTGATGAATAAAAAAGAATTTTATTGTGAGAGGAAAGACATGCATGTAGAGGTTTTATTCTAGTCCTCTCAGCAAATGGGATGGATTAAAAATAATTTCCGGACCCTTCATCATTTAGTAAACATTTACTTTTTCAGTACATATAAATAGATAAGACTTCATATAAACATTTTATAAAAATAAAACTCTATAAAAAGTGGGTGACTGTAATCCAGCACTATGTGTAGAAGAAGTTAGTGTTCTGACTAATGAACTTTGGAGAGTATAGAGAAGATTAAAAAACAAACAAACTCCCCAGTTCCTTCTGTTTTGGGATTGATTGTACCATTGTACTAGCCCTTTATGCTCACAAAGTTCTAAATATCTCTATCAGGCCAAGAAAGCTGGCATCTACTAATTTCCAGTCAGTGAATTGTACAGAATTTATGAAGTGGATTTATATCAGTGTAATTAGAGATTTTCCTAAAAAAGCATTTGAATGGAAAATTAATTTCTGTAGAATATGATTGGTACAAATGACAAACATTAATTTCTTTGCATGTTTTGTACAGTATAAAATGGTATTTGTGCATTTCCTCCACTTTTGCATTCCATACATGTGTGGAATTCTTGTAACTAATAAGGAGATAAAGTTTTTGCTTTGTAAAAAGCACAATGTGGGTGAAAGAAGTTATTTTTTATTTCTTTCCAAGTAATTTTAATCTGATATTCTTTCATTGATAGTAGTTTGTTAACACTTAAGGAAGTTTCAAGCACAATTTGTTGTTATAATTAGACACTGCTTGTATCTAAGCTGTAAGAGAGCTTGTATAAATTGGTATATAAGCATAGTATGAAAGCTAAGAGTTGTTTAAAAAAAGTACTTTTCTTTCTAACCAATATTAAATAGCTAGAATTGTATGCCATTTGGAGAGATTCAAACAGTGAATTTAGAATAATTCAGTGGTTTAATGGAAAAATAGAGATTTTAGACATTGGTTTCAAGCTGATAAATTTGAATTTCTTTAGTGTGATTTGCTCTCACAAAATATGCTTAGAATGTAAGTACATCAAAAATGGCACCATATAGTTGCTTTTTCCTTGTTTAAGATTACCATACTGCTCATATATATATCCTGTAGGTGGTCATTTTTTTTCTTAACATAGTTTAATATTTTAAAATGTGTCCCACATTTTAAAATGAATACACATATAGGAGTTTAAGCAAATTAGATTCCAGTTTGGAGAAAAAAAACAATTTCTTTGCGAATCATGCCTTTAAAATATGAAGATAATAAATGTTATATTCCAATGTGAGATTAATTAAGATGCAATTAATGTCAAAAATATTTTGCTACGGAATCATTCTGCTGTATTGTCATAGGGATTGTGATCCCCCCCCATCTTATTTTGTGAATTCTGGTTCAAAAACTACCACAAGTATTGACTTGATTAAGTTTCAAATCATCCTTCCCCCTTCCCAAATTCAGTTTTAAACAGCTATGAAGAATAAAAGAAATAGTGAAGGGTGGATGGGCAAGTGATTATGTAATGAAATGGAAGTAGGTGTGACCTCTCTGAATTTCTAGTACTTTATAGTGCAGCTAATAAAATTACATTTTATACAGTTTTCTTAACAAAGTTATTACAGCTTTGATACACATTTTATTGCAGTTTATTGAAGGTCGACTTGCAAAGCTAAATGCAGGAAAAGGATTCTCCGATATTTTTGAAGAAGAAATATCGGGAAGTGGAGGTAGATATATACTTTTGTACTTCTTGACTAAAGGTAGGTTTTGATTAGGGGAGCTAATGAATCCCATGAAATGGTGACATTATTCAGATTTGCACTATTTGAAGTGATATTTCTATAGAAAATATGGTAATTGGTTCCAGCTCAAAGAAAATAGGCAGTGGAAAATTTTATATATTTTATATATGAAATATTACAATAAAAGATAAAAAGAATATACTTGTAATTTAAATTTATGGTTAACAAAGTCACAGAGTAGTTATAAAAAGCAAATTTTTTAAAAAATTCTACCAGAGATTCAAGCATACCAACATCTCATCCTAATTTTAATGTCGCTATGACCACATTCATATACTGTAATTCAATTACATCAAATTTTCACTCTAGTGTAATAACAACCCTCTTTTTTAAACTTGCCCTCTTTTCTTCTGACAGAACCTTCCTTTTCTCCATTTTGCACACTTGAAGATTAGCAGCATCTAAAATCCCAACGCAACTGCATATGTAATAGATTGAATTGTGCTTAAACTAGCCTTGCATTAACTGAATTTTGGGTCATATTAAACACGACCTGGTATCAGTTTACAATTCTCTCACTAAATCAAATATTACATTATTCAAACTTACACTAATCACAACCTATCTGTTCTTTCATTTGTCCTGCATTAATTGAAATAGTGGAAAATGACAATACATTTTACATTGGTTTTTAGCATTGTGCTGACCATGGATAGAGTTTTTGATTAAATAACTGAAATAGAAATACTATTCAGATTCCATGTTGCTAAAAATCCAAAATAATAAAAAAGATTTCTTAATTGACCTTTTTAGATGTTTTTGTATAGGAGATGAGAAAAATGTATATAAAATATGTATTATATATGCTCTTACTGATATTTTACTAAACAGTTGTTTGTATTTTTATTTCAAATAATTGCAGTTTTCAACATATTGTATATGCCATAGAAGTTAAAGCAACTAATGTGATACTTGAGTAGTTAGAATGAAAAAATAATAATGAATAAAATAAACACTCATTATTCTTATGGATGAGTGGAAATTAGTCTATGATTATAATAGTTTTACCTATATGCCTGATGTGAAATTGTTCCTATTAATTAACACCAACTCTCTTAATACCAAAAAGCACAATTGAGGCTTGATTTATAATCCCCTTATTGAATTAAGTGTTCTTTTAAATTTATGTCTCTTTAATTGTACTTCTGTGTGTTCGATATGTATTGCTGTGAAGGTTTCTAACTTCAGCTTCATAAGATATCATAAGCATTTGTATAGCAAATTGATAGAACTGAATATAATGGTTAATTAAAAATGACAGAAGCAGAAAGATTCTTCAGACTTACTTATTCATCTTCCTTTTCTCAAAATTACATGTTCAGCTTTTATGCAAGTATCTGCAGTTTTAAATGAAAATGCTTTAGTAATTGTATATACAATAATTGTTTTATACAATAATTAAGGCACCAGGCCAGAAACAGAGGCCACGAGTACTAACCTCACTTTAGTTACAAAGTCAGCTGGAAGATTTTGGGCTAATCATTTTCAACCTTACAAAGAAAGAAACAGCTTACCATTTCCAAAAATCTTACCCCCCCCCCAAAAAAAAACCCTGCAGGAGCTTGTCAAGATTGATTTGAATACACATCCATACATACACATACACATACCCATTATGCTATTCTCTTTTGGAGAAGCAATGTTAGGATTAGGGTACTTTTAGAAACACCAGCAATATAAATTTCATTAGACAATTCCTCCAAAGCCAGAAGGAACAGTAAAATGTTTCAACCTCCAGGACCTGCTAGAATAGCCAACTTTTAATGGCTTTCTTAAAAACCAATCAGGAAGAGGCTTTTTAGATTTCCAGAGGAAATCTGTTCCATAGAAGTGGGTAGTCATTGAGAACAGTCAATTTTATGATCCCTGAAGATGCTAATCCCTGCAGAGAGAGCCCCTCTACCGGGTCTTATTGGAAAGCAGATAGAGTTGCCTGTTCAGATACCAAAGTCTTGAGACATGAAAGACTTTAAAGCAGTGGTTCTCAACCTTTTTAATGCCGCGACCCCCACCCGGTCGTAAGTCGAGGACTAAACCGGTCGTAAGTCGAGGACTAAACCGGTCGTAAGTCGAGGACTACCCAACCGGTCGTAAGTCAAGGACTTTCCCTGCTCAGGAGCGCTGCGCATGCGTGGTTCCGCCCCCTGCGCCGGCCGAGGCGTAGCTGGCAAGCGGCAGAGACGGAGCAGGCCGACCACCAGCTGGCCCAGCTCAAGGGAGGTAAGGCACCCGCCAGAAAAGGGGAAAAAAATGGTGGACAGCCTTGCTTGGCGACCCCCGTGAAATGGTTGATCGACCCCAAATGGGGTTGCGACCCATAGGTTGAGAACCGCTGCTTTAAAGGTAAGTACTAGCACTTTGAATTGCAGCACCCAGACTAGCTTTCAGTGTAGTGGTGTTATATGAGCAAATCAAAATACTTCACTACAAGATGTCTCATTGTATTGCTGAGTTTAAGAGGCTTTAGAAACTGTTATAAAGCCCACATCTTCTATGAGAAGCCATTGGCTAGGAATTTATAGCAACTATCATTCCTCATGCTATCTTAAAATTAATAATGGTTTTAAAACTAAACCCGCATTTACTTGTCCTGCTACATTTTAAATTTATTTGCACTGCAAAATAAAAAAAAACTGCTATTTTTTATGAAATCCAATTTCACCTGACCATTATGAATAGTTTATTAGAGTAATACTATTGAACACACATTGATTTGCTCTTCTGCCCCCTTGCAAAGTTTTGTTAAACTGTAAGACTGTAGAAAGTGTAGTATTATGCTGTACCCCGATACAATACATATATATTTGTGCGTATGTGTAATCCAATTTCACCTGACCGTTATGAATAGTTTATTAGAGTAATACTATTGAACACACATTGATTTGCTCTTCTGCCCCCTTGCAAAGTTTTGTAAAACTGTAAGACTGTAGAAAGTGTAATATTATGCTATACCCCGATACAATACATATATATTTGTGCGTATGTGTATTTTTCCAATCCCTAAATAATTCTAAATTTACCATGTTTTTAAAGTTCTGTCATATCAGCCATAGATTTTGTCAGAGAAAATAATATAGTCTGATGTTCTGTGAAGATAAGAACGGTAGAACTCTTATGTTTATTATGAACATGAATTTAATGTAGAATGAAGATTATGCATAAAAGTCTAGCAAAAATGGTTCTAACTTTTATTTCCCTTTAATTTACATTTTTAGGAAATTTAAGAACATACCATCAGTGGATGCATACTGTGAAGGTATGACAACATGTCAGGAGACTGGAATATATCTTGCAATGCAAAAAGTGTCATCATGTGAATGTAATCTTAATTTAGAAATGTGCGGAAAAATTGCTCAGAATTTGTGCAATATATACAAGTGTATACATGCAGTGATCAGTGCAAATCTCTCATGCAAAACACCTATTTATATAATCGGAATATTATGAAAGACAATTTCCTGGTGGATTGTGCCCTACACAAGTACATTACAGTACACTGATAAGTGTGTCAGCCATAGAAATGATGTATTGTAAACTCTGGGTGGTAGTAGACAAAGCTAGACAAAAGGCAGCTGTAGAAATCTTCAAAGTGGCATATTCGGGGTCATGCTAAGGGTTGTAATTTAAGTTAACCAGAAGTGTGGATTTTCCTTTAAAAACTAAAGTTGTTATTTAAATTGAAAATCAAACTATGTTCTGCATACATCAGAACCTCCATGTTTATGAGTGTATATGTATATTGGATTTCAGAAAGGAGGAGCCTTGATCAACACAGCAGTGAACAAAGCTACTCCAGCTGTGAAAACAGCATACCAATATGTAAGAGATGGTTCTTTTCTTGTTTCACTTTTGCAGATCTGTGTGTGCAGGTAGTCCTGGACTTACAACCACATTTCCTATATTTCCATTGCTAAGCAAGACAGTTGTTAAGTGAGTTTTGCCCCCATTTTACGACCTTTCTTGTCACAGTTGTTAAGTGAATCACTGCGTTAAGTTGGTAAAAACAAGGTTGTGAATCTGGCTTCCCCCGTTGACTTTGCTTGTCAGAGGGTCACAAAAGGTGACCCCTGACATACTGCAACCGTCATAAATATAGGCCAGTTACCAAGTGTCCAAATTTTGATCACGTGACCATGAGGATACAGCAGTGGTCGTAAGTGTGAAAAATGGTCATGAGTCGCTTTTTTCACTGCCATTGTAACTTCGAATGGTCACTAAATGCATGGTTGTAAGTTGAGGATTATCTGTATTCTTCTTTCTTTCAAGGTGCTGCAAAATACTTGCTCTAACTCTACGTTATACTAAACTGTTGTTTGCTTTAACCATAATTTGAACAATTTATAGTGGCCTAGTTTATGCATAACATGAAGTTATAACCATGGTTTACAATCCTCAGTGGAGAGTTCAAGTCACTGAAAGCAAAATCAAACACATTAAGATTAGTGAGAGTCATGTCAATCTACTCATTATGTCATATACAGTACAGTACTTGTTTGCAGAACCACCCAAACAATGACTGAATCTAGAGGTGAAACTCCTTCAGTTCTTTAGTTCTTTGTACTAAGATTCTCCCCTCTTCTGCCTAGGACAGTGATGGCGAACCTTTTAGAGACCGAGTGCCCAAACTGCAACCCAAAACCCACTTATGCATCGTCGAGTGCTGGGTGGGTGTGGCCCATTGGCTGGGTGTGGCCAATTGGGTGGGCGTGGCTGTGGTGGTAACGGCAGACTGGGTGGGACTAAAAAGTTCAATCAATCAATTCCAACTTTGCAAGATCTTTTTTTTCCCGCAAGAAGTTGAAATTGACTGATTGATTGAACCTTTTTTTTTTTTGCACACGGCAGCGGAGGCCTAAAGCAAAAAGGTTTTATAAAACCCAGCTGAAGGCCTAGGACTGGGGCGACGGCACGCGTGCCCACAGAGAGGGCTCTGAGTGCCGCCTCTGGCACCCGTGCCATAGGTTCGCCACCACTGGCCTAGGAGTTGTTGCAGTAGTAGTAGTAATAGAATAGTAGTAGTATTTTTATTTGGTAAGTGTTTATACTTGAGCTTCCTACAAATAAAACTGTAACAAAAATCACAATACAATAACACTAAAATAATAATACTTTAACAGTTAAAACATCCAGCACTGCCATACCTTTTGCCAATATCAAGTTCTGGTTTAAAGTCTCCACCTTGAAAAGAGCAGCATTTTAAAGGCTTTTTTAAACTTTAAGTCATTTGACTCCTAAGTGGTTCAGGGGGGAATTGACTTCAAAGATGGGTGAGGTTTATACATTCCAAACACCATGGTGATAAAATGGAGGATTTTCAGTAGCACTGTTACTGATTTGATCCATGCACATATGAAATTTCCATGTGGGAGACTGGTATATCTATCTTTATTTTCATAATGGACCAAGGTAAAAACATTTCCTGTGAGGAAAATGTAAGATACTTCTGGAAGTATCTAGGGATCATTCTAGAGGGACTCAGCAGTTGTACCACGATAAAAGTAACTTCAATCCTGCCATTTTGGATGTTTAAAATCCCAGATCCTCTGTTTAAGTTCAGTCAAGGCCTTATCTGGGTCAAGATATTATACAACCAGGACATAACAGCCACAATTAGCCAAGTTAAAGTCAGTTAACTTTGTCAGGGATCAGGTAAATCTACTTAGTGGAGTAAGGTGAACTAAGGATGCTTTCCTAAAAAAATGTTTCAAGTAAAACTAAGACACTGAAATTTTAGGTGGGTCTCAGGAGAGTTGCAGCCAAACTAAGCAAGTTAGGGCATTTGAGGTTGAGCAAGAACCCAAAATTTAGCTCCTAAAAACTTAAATTAAATTAAAAATTAAACTGGATAGCTTCCAAAGTCAAAGCATTCTTAACACACAGCTGGGCATCACAGCTGGGTACCAAGCCCCTTGGATCTATTTAATTTAATTGCTTCAGGGATGTGATTATTGCTTTGATGGCTTACAGATTTTAAGCATCACATTGGATGCTATTTGGGCTCTTATATAGAGCTCAGTTGTTTATTGCAGCAGGCGGAAGGTTGAAAATGGATACCTAGATAGTTGAAGTCCTTTATCTGGTTAACTGGTCTTTTTAAAATTCTCCATCTGATCAGGAACGTTAAAGTACTTTCTAAAGAAGTGTAAAATTTCTAAATAGTTTTATTTATCTAAACTAGTTTTATTTACTTTTAAATAATTAAATTAAAAATAATTAATTAAATAATTAATTTCAAGAAATTCCCTAGAGCAGACATGTCAAACACAAGGCCCAGGGGCTGGATGCAGCCCGCGAAGTGGTTTCATGTGGCCTGCGAAGCCATCCTGGAAACAGTGAGGGAATGGCCCCTGCTGCCTTGGCCCTGGCCCAGGCCGGCCGGGAGCCAATGTACAATTTTGTGGTGGCCAACTTGGCACTTGCCCCGGTGGACCATGCCTTGGCACTTGCCCCAGTCCCACCCCCTTCTGCCAGAGACCCTCAGATCTGTCCCAGGCTCCCACAGGCACACTTAACGCAAATGATGTAGAACTGGCCATGCCCACCCAGTAGGCCACACCCACTCCATCCACACCCACCCAGTAGGCTGCACCCACTCTGGCCACACACCCCCAAGGGCAACCGCAATGCTGATGCGGCCCTCAGTGAAATTGAGTTTGACACCCCTGCCCTAGAGCAATAGATCAGTAAAAGAACTTGGCAACTGCATAGGCCCACTTAACTTACAGATAAAATAACTACATTATCTACATAAAGAAATAGAAACAGCTCAAATAGCTAAAGTTGTAGAATAAAGTTCCAGCTTAGAAAAGGTCACAATGGTATCATTAATATAGAAATTAAATGTACAAGAATACATCCTTGTTTACCTCCTTTAAAAAGTAGGGATAATGTAGATGGGTCATTGTAACTGCCACTATTTTCTGTAATTGTATTTTAATATAACAAAATTATCAGCCTGGAAGATAGTAGTCAATGGGTGTTGTGACTAATTTCTTCTAAAATCTCCAGTGGGAACAGAATCTCAATCCAAGCAATATAAGGATGTTAAATGGTGTAGAACTGCACATTGATCCATACTGAAATGTCTTGATCTGAAACCTGCCTATTCTGGGGGCAAGATGTTTTTCAGGTTTATTCAGTCTAAAAGTTTATAGTAGAGAAATCTAGCATAACAATTGCCAATTATTGGCAAAAGGCTGATTGACTACTTGTTGACAGGATTGTGCCTATCATCTTTCTTATATATATATTGGGAGTGACAGAGTTCACCCACCTCTTGGGAACTAATAGTGAATTGTTAATAGTAGTGAACAAAATAATGCAGAAGCCTATTATTATTCTCAATAATTCTAAGATCTGATATTTCTTTACCTTATGCTTTACCAAATAAATTAATTTTTGAATTTATGTTTGTAAAATTGAGAGTCAGCCAGGAGTGGATCAGATAATAGGCCTATGAAAGTTACGACCAAATGGACCTCTCATTAAAGCATGAACATATTTGGTTCCATAGGAAGATTATGTTGCTGACACTAAAGCTGGATTTAACTGATAAGCAAGAAGACATCAGAACAGAATTATCTTTATTTTGTACTGTTTGTTGAAACCTAGGCTAATTCACTAGTGAGTGACTTTGTTTTTTCTTTTTCAAATACTCCTTTTGTACTCTTTGATGAATAAATGTTCTCAGAAGGAAGAATCATTACAGATTTGAGTATTTTGGTAAATTGAAATTACCATGCTTTGGCCAAGGCTTAGTTTTTGTCAGACCAAAGTTTGGAATATCGATTTGAGTTTGATGAAAGGGAATTTGATTCGCAGTTAAATGATCCGGTACAGAGTTCATGATTTGCAAGAAACATTTTAAAATTAATAATTTTATTATGCCAATAATGGCTTCAAAGGATTGGCCAGGTATGAGTCAACAAATTGCAGAGCAATGACTAATAATTTGATGGACCACACAAAATGAGAGTATTTGTTGAATGAGGGATCAGTGTGAATTTGTGAACATTAACAAATAACTAAGATTTCTTGTGAACATTGCCTAAAGATGGGCACCAGCAATTTGATTTAATAACACTTCTAAGGTTCACACTATTTACCACACTATTCTGAACTTAAATCAGAGTGTGGTGAACCTAAACATTATACAGTGAGTTTCTCTTGTGAGTACTGTAGTAATATCCAACTTCATCCCTGAGGTTGTTCCAGATGGATATAATCTGGATACTTAACACCGAAGAGCTATCTAATTGGTGAATTTAAATCTTAGTCTCCTAGATGGTATTCTAACATTTTAATCAGTATATCACACTACAACCGGTTTCCTTAATATATGAAAATTATCTTAGTGTTGGGAAGATGCTGTGGGTGAAGGAACACTGAGAACCAAAACCAGGAAAATGTCTGAAAATCGCTTCCTGGTCCTTTGAGCTTCAATCATAAATAAATGAATTGATTCCTTACTTTCATTTTCAAAAGAGAATTTTTAAATTTACATCATTCAAAATTACACTGAGGCCATATTTCAGGTAAATACATTCAAAGTACTGTGAATTCATGTGTTCATTTATAACTTATATACAGTTCTTTAATGGAATGGTAAAAAAAAATTGCTCTCTTTTTTTCACCACTGGGTTTCTATTTGGTCATTATAATCTTGTAACGATGAATCTATTCCTGTATTCACTGCTGACTTCAATTTTTTAAGAGAATCCTTGAAAAATTGCCTATGTACTGTCCCATTGGTAGCACCTTCTGGGCATTTCACTGGTGATAGTTTAATAAGGCACATCTTAGTTTTCAGTTTCCATCTTGGTGTCCTGTCATGACTTTGCAGAAATGTGAATAGTTAAAACAATAACTTCAAAGACATACTGTCCAGATGCCAGTGGAAAATCAAGTATGGTGATTATCATAGTATTCTCATTAGGCAGTTAGTCGTGAAGGTTGCCTTGTATATACACCAACTAAACATAAATACATACCATACATACATACATCTACATTTACTTCTCACAGAAGTCAAGCAACATCTGTATATTTAATATGCACTTGCTGGAGAAAACTTCATTCTTTTTATTGGGATACATTCAATCTGTGTACACTATACTGTTGAAATTTAAGTTAGTTTGCTGAAAACAATGAAGTTTAGAGACACCCATTTATAGCTGAGTGTGCGGTTAGAGCAGTGGCTCCCAACATTTTCTCTATCCCGCACCCCTAAAACGCTTCTGATATATTCTTGCACCCCTTACAAAAGTTCGAAACAACGGCAACAAATTATGCATATGCACTATAATTTTGAAAATCCAAGTTTTCGCACCCCTTGGGTGCGAAATTCAGGGAACCCCTGAATTAGAGGATATAATTATTTGCAGTGCATGCAAACGTTTTTAAAATATCAAATATGGCTCACATAAGGTAGTCTTTTAATCCATTCCCCTGCCCCTCCCACCTTTTTTTTTTTTTTGCCTTTACATGCTACAAGGAATATGAATTCGCAGAGAAAACAGAATTTAGCATTGCACAGTTTGGGGGAATTTGGGGAGTTGCAGGGGCTTGGTGAGAACAATACAATGGGGCTAAAATTCATGTGTGAGTCATAGGCTGCTGGTTGTTTTTCCTGTATAGTTCATCCTAAGTTAGATTTGTATTTAGGTGCATTTTCTATTTAGATTAGGTCCTAAGGAGAGTAGTTCGCAAATATAAAGATATATATAAATATAAATATAATCTCCTAAGTATCGGACATGTTGGAAACAGCAACAACAGCTTCATTATCTATAATTTGGCTTTTAGTTTGAATAGAAAAATAGCCACCTATTATAGTTGTTTGAAGAATAAGTTGCAAGAATTTGAAGTTGAATGATAAAGTGAATTGAAATACTATTTGTTCCTCTTTAAAGTTAGAATTGCCTCTGAAAGAAAAACCACACTTCTTTACAATTATTTTGCTTCTAGTATGATTATTTCACCTGTTTTAAAAAGCAAACTATAATTGTCATTTTTATTCAGGCTGATGTGAAGATGTGGCGTGAAACTTTAGTGTAAATCTAATAATAGTAACTATGAAAAACACAACACTTTGACATGGCTCTGCATATAAAAAGAGCTAGACTGGAATATTACTGCCTGAGCTTTTTTTCCTATTCAACTTGTGGCCAAGCTAAGAGTTTATTTCTACCGATAACACCATTTCATAAGAATGCTACATTAAGGAAATACCAATTTAACTAGTGTGTTTTGATAACACAATTAAGCCTATGCCACAATCCATTTCTTAATGCACATCTTATTAGCAATTAATGCACACCTTACTGCACACCTAATGCAAACCTTGTTAGCAATCCTGTATGAAATTAACAAAACAATCTCTTTTTGCTATACCACACAATGTGAAAGTTTTAATTTTAAATTCTATGTTACTTCATCTAGGGCAGTATCAAACCATTGTTTTGCAGATTCAGTTAGTTTTTTTTTTCCTTTCCTCTTCTTTCCCCCCAGGCAAAAAATCATGCAAAACAGGGAATAAAAGAGGTGAAGAGTAAGTTGAAACACAAGGTATGTGGCAAAATTTGTACTTTCTTACCTTGTTTCTTGCTTCAGTTTGAAGTATATACCTTATGAATCCCACAAGATTTGTGTTTTTAATGACTTTTGAAATATGCTTAGCCCTTTGTTCAACAATGCATTTTTTATAACAAGCCCTCTGGCAACTCTCTGTCATTCTGTGCATCTACTTGAATAATCTCTTTATTGTTTGCATATTTATCATGAAAAAAACTGAAGTCTTCAAAGATCTATAACAGGATGTATGTTTTCATAAAGCTGATTACTTTGATGTCACAATTGAAGCCTTTGCTTCTAGCTGAGAATTTAAGGCAAGTGACTTTTACCAGAGAAATATAATTCAGCAGGAATAGTTGTCTGTTTAGGTTTCCTTGGTTCAGTAAATGGCAGCATTATTTTAGCACCCTAAGCCTTCCAAGAGTATCATTTAAAAGTACGGGAGGCATTGTATCAAGACTCCATATATTCAGTGTATTGTATGTTCAGTATTCATTTTTAAATCAAGTAGTTTGAGCACTATTTCGCTTTCTCCTCAGGTGTCAAGGCTCAAATATATGAAAGGCATTTTGTTTTACTTGATAGCTTCATCATATTTAAAAATTATATCGTAGTTGTTACTCCAGCATTTAAATCTTTCAGGTGGCAAATTTTTTTAATGGTGTGTATGTGTTTAACTAGATATAAAAATGTGTAGTCACAAACGTTTTTCAGTCTTAATTTTCTCTGTAGGAAAGAGAAGATGGCTATGGAATTTGTAGCTCAGGTTTTGCACAATACGCTCCATTCTGTACCGTTCCTAATTCTCCAAGAGAGAACACAGAAAAAAGGCGACTTGCACAGGTAATTAAAAATGTTCTCCCTTTGGATGTTATTAACAAACACAAGGTATTTGTTAATCAAGATGGGGAATGCACAGCAGTAATAAGCATTACGAACCCTCTATTGATCCTTGTTCCCTGACCCCTGCTTTTAAAACATACAATGGAAAGCTGGGTTTCTCCACTGCAAACCATGTTTTAGCATTATTTTTATTTACAAGAATGTATCTGGGTTCACATGAGTCAAATAGACAGGTCTAGAAAATAAAAACAATGGATAGTTAGTTTTAAAATTTGTCTACAAGCTCAGTAAGTAGGCAAAAGTAACAGAGATGTTATAAAGCATAGTTGGAAACTCTCTCACCTGTTTTCTTCTGTTAATGCATTTAAAAATAAATAAATTACTCTTTTGTAGCCATTGAGAAATGTTCTCAAAAATCGCAAAGGTGCCCAATGGTCCACAAAAGGTTGCTTCACACACACACACACACACACACACACACACACACACACACACACTTAGTACCCTACCTTCCTCAAATAAATCCAAGCTGATACTTTATCTTATGAATAAAGGTGAATCATTCATTGTTTAGTAATGGAGTTGGCTTTCAGAGTTGGGCAGCATGTAAATGCAAATAAATATCAAAAGAAACTGCAATGAAAATGTAATTACCTAAATACTGTGTGCTTTTAAAGAAGTGTTTCCTCAGTAAAGGCTAGAATTGTATTTGCCTAGGATGTGGAAGGCTCGTCTCCAAGACTCATTTAGATTCTTAAACCATTTGCAGAAGGTATGTAGATTAAGGGTAATTCCTATGCAACATTACCATGAATTTCTAAAATTTGGTAAACACTGCATTTACATATAAATGTTGACAAAACTTATTTTAGTGTAATATGTGCTGAAAAAGAGTATCCTTCACTTTGAGTGATGAACATGGACATGAAAAACCTGACCCTTTGATTTTGATAGTTGATGAATTTTGGAATAGACTGCCAAAATATATATCTTTTAGAGCTTTAGAATATTTGCAAAACTCCTGTAAGATTTTCATGTGTATATCTAGCATCATCGGAGCATGGGATTAGGTTCAGTGACATGTAGAACAATTATAGCTTCCTGGAACCAGTGCATACTACATTAATACTGAGAGCAAAATGCTCCCAGAATAAGATGGGCTGAGATGGGTGGGTTGTGAGCAATATATACTGTAGTTATGCTATATATAGAGAGTATATGCCAGATCCTATATAAAAGCTACTCAGATTTTAATGACTGGCTAATGATCAGTAGATTGTACTGCTAAAATAATGAGCGGTGCTAATAGATCTCAAATAACATTGGTGAGCTTGAATTCCTTGATAGGGATTTTGTATTGAAAAATGAAATCTGGAAATCTCCAGTAGCTAGTTAAATGGTCTGCGTATTCTATTGCATATATCAATTACTAATTAATATATTTGTGTTCACTTATGCTAATATTGAATTTTATTCAGCCACACTTTAATACTTCTACTGCAAAAATTTACCTATGTAGATTCTATACAGGTACATACGTTTTTCAATGTAGTCCTGGCTCTTCAATTGGATTTTAAGGCACAGCATTTCTCCCTTTATATTTGTTCAAATTAAAAAAGATAATAGTAATTTAGGGCCGGTATGTTGCCCTTATAAAACAGTGCATAAAAATCAAACTCATCCTCCTGCTGGAAGATTGTATTGATGCTGTTTTTGACATTGTCATTAGTAATATTGTCGTTTTCTAGAGCTGAATATGAATATGCTTTCTACCCCAACAAATAATAGTTTGTATGCCAGTCTGCTAATTAGTTTGGTTATTTCCTATTTTTTTGATGAGGTTTAAATAAATGTCAAGGGTACAGACATGGAGATCTCCCAATTAGGCTTTGCATTTGTAAAGCCCAGCCCCTTTGCTTTTGTGTGAAGATGACAGTTCCAACTGCAGCGTCAGTCTAACAGGGCTCATGGGAGAGGGTACTTCACTGCTTTTATTGAAAACAAGGCTAGTTTGGCCCAGTGAGAATATTGGCATTGGTCAGAGTGCAGATCAGTTGTTAACAATGAATATTTACTAATCTCTGTCACAGCCAAGATCAACTGCTTTTTCCCCCCTTTCATTTCACCCATTCAGTGCTAGAGCTCAAAAATCAGTGCATTAAAATATGCACAGATTTTACACATGCACATAAAATAGGTATAAATAACTGTATTGCCAAGGGTTTCATTGTACCAACTTCTCCATTGTACGTACACCAGATTGCTTCTGTGTGCAACAGGGAAGAGATCCCACACCATGACAGCACAACTGATCTTCACCTAAGAGATTCTGAAAAGAATTGTTCTATTTCTGTAAGACATGTGCCAGCCTCCTCGTAGCTATTCTAGTCTATTTGGTTATGGGTGTGCAGAGGCGGGAGAGAGAGAATAAGAAGGAAGAGCTTAACTGCATTGCAAGTCAAAATTAACAGATGGATTGCCCTAAGCAAGGGAAAAGCCACCACTACAAAATCTAGTGAAAGCGGCAGGCTGAAGCTTTTTATTATTAATCCTTATTAAAATCTTGACGTGTATTTTACAGTTAACCCTTTCATCCCTTCATGATTAAATAATAATTCCTCTCGCCTTCGCATTAACTTAGATTGAACACAATACTTTTTTAAAAAAGGAAAGAGAAAGCAAATTACAGAATGTTTTACATGTCAACAGTTTTCTCCCACTTTGCCTTTCTTCTCCTTTTAATTTTTACCTTCCTTTTTTAATTCAGTCTGTAGACATGCCTTATACTGTAAATAGCTTATTTCAGTTTGGGATGATTTTTTTTTTTTGACTATCCATAGATGCATCAGTTAGATGGATCTTTTAAAATGCAGGTCTGTTTCCACAGCATTGCTTAAAAGTAAATATTTCAGGCAGAACAAAGGCAGATATATTTGAGGATCTGCTAGTTATCCTGAACATCATCTTCAGCTATGGTTGTGACCCATTTTAAATGAAGCCTTTCATGTTTTAAAAAGATACTGGCTTTGTCACGTATTTGGTAGCATCCTGTGTAACACTGCTAGGAGCATATGCTATAATAAAGAATTAGCTGTGCTTCCTTGTTTCTTGTGAAATGTATATATATATATGTATGGTTTGTAACCCAAGGTATACAGTTACCTGTAAGACTTTTTTTTTTTTTTTTTTTAAAAATCCTTTTGTACAAAATAAAGGTTTTTCAGAAATCCCAGTATCTTAATTGAAAGTGCATTATTTTTCACAAAGATGTTGTATTGTAAAGGCAATATAATTTGTTGTTGGAATACAGCTCCAGGAATGGTCATAAAGCTGTGTAAAGTATATGAATGTAAACATGCAAAATATTGTTAGCAAAATCCACTTTGTGGTATAGAAGCCAACAAAAATGTGGTCGAAGTACTTGTGTATGTTGCTTTACTATTATTTTTTCATACGACTTGAGCTGAATGAACATTTTTGGGTGCTACTTTCGAATTAATCATATGCATAATCAAATTACGGAATGTCTTTGAACCAATACAAACCACTAGGCTTGGCAACCTGTGTTCACTGTGGCTGCTATATCACTGTGGTTGTGAGTCTCCTGCGGGCTGACAGGTTGACTGTTTCCTGAAAGCAGGCTGTCCCCTACAGAAGAGAGCCCCCTTTGTGCTTTTTCCACACACACCCACACACCATTCCCAACCTCAGAGATACGGTATAGGTTGTGTCCTGTTCTATCTGTCAAGATGGAATGAACTGAGCAAATAGGGCTTGGTCTTAGCGGCATTCAGCCCTATTGTGAATGGAAGGTTGCATGCAAGAGATTCAAAGCAAAATTGAACATCATTATTTTTCTGAAATGAAGAAATACCTGTTTGGTTTCCACAGAATGAGATTCAGCAGAGCACATGGAATCATACCGAAGTTCAGGCACCCAGCATTCCTCTTTTTCTTCTGTTTTTGCCTTTTGCAGGAAATTCTACACAATGCTAGGGCACCATTGAGCTCTATCTAGCAATTTAAGTAATGTGAATAAAATATTGTATGTGACAGATGTCATGCAGAGTAACAGTGAGCAGTGTTGAATCGACAGTTTGGTAGTCTGCTTTAGTTTAAGCTTCCTCATAAAAAAAAGGTAAATTCAGTCAATTAGCACAGTGTTTTAGACAAAAGAAAGCATAATCCATAGATGTGCTTGGCTCTGTTAGTTTTTGTTTGAAGAGACAATCTTTTGTCTTTCCTTGTCAATTATGATCCATCTATATTGCAGCCTGCATATCTTTTAATTAAAAATAGAAAATATAGGCTGCACAAAATTACGAGACTGCCCTCTAGTGGTATAAGTGACTTTTCAGAAATGATGTAAAATAACTCTTCGTACACAGATAGTCCTATATCTATTTAAAAGCAAGTAAAAAACAAAACAATGTTTTAAAAAAGCTTATAATAGTTGTTCAACAATTGCTTTCCCTGTTTATCTATCTAGTATAATCTTGAGATGTCAATCCCATTCTAGGCTTTCCAACATTGATTTTTCAAACTGTTTTTTTCCCAGTTGATGCAAACCATATCTTCTAACATAGGGAAAGGAAGGGGTTACTTTTCGATAAGCCCAAGTGAAACTACATCCTTCTAGTTGAGTGCAAGAGTTGGTGAGATTCATTGGTTCCTGGACATTGGATTGTAGGAACTCCATTATT